TTTGTGGACTCACGCCTCTACTTTTATCCAGACCGGGGACACCCATCACAGCGGATGACGTGGTGAGATGCATGAGCAAATTGCTGCCAATTGGGGACGCTGGGCGTATCAATCCGGAAATTTTGTGCGACTTGCCTCGTAGACTTTTTCGGTGGACCCGTCATTCCGGAAAAGCGTCTTGAAGTTGGCGTCGTAGCCAAAGACGTGGACGGCAAGTCTGCGACCCATTTCAAATTGCATGCAGAACAGAGGATCGAGAAAGCAAAGAAGCTTTTTGGAAAGACTCGGCTCGTAGATTTTGCCGAGCACTTGAACGCTCTTGAACCAGCTCTCGATCGGTCGGATGTTCAGGACGACTTTGACCTGCATGCACGCGTGACGAGGCGGGGCGGGGCGGGGCGGGGCGGGCCCCGCGATGAGATCATGTTTGGAATCAAATCCTTTCTTTCCTCCATGAGCCTGAGCCCTTCCAAGACTCACTTCTGGATCATCCGAATAAGCTTCCCAAATCTCTCTGGTGAAGATCTGCCTCGTCAATGCAATGCAGCCGATGGGCACACATGCTCTCAAGAAATCTGCTCCGCTCACCTCCAAAACGCAATCACTGGCAAATCACAAGCACTTTGACAATCCCCAAGCAAATCATCCCAAAATTTGCGATCGTGCAGCAAAGCTTTGCCGCGCGACGGACCAGGTCGAAGGTTGATGCAGGAGATTGGTCGGCCTCGTAAAACGTCTTGCAAGATTCTCGAGACTTGCTTCAGACTTGACGCGCCACTCGCAGGTTGCGCACCCCATTTCAGCTCAAAGGCTCGCATCCAGCGCGCAATGTCGTTGCTTGCTAGAGGGACATTCTGTCGACGCAAAGGTCTGTAGCCGTGGTAGCAGTTCGAGACTGGACAGAGCAGTAGGGTGGCCCGATCAGCTTCTCTTCGACACACTGGCCTTGTGGTGCCAAGGGGCCAAACTGACAACCAAGCATCACCAGCGCTCTTTGAGTCGACGCCGTGGCCGTCCTGGACATGCCGAGCGATAAGACGCGAAAGGGTACGATTCGATGGCCACGGTGATACCCGTCGTTGTAAGGATCATGTTCATCGTAATTATGGGTCGCCATGGTCGTCTCTGTAGCGCAGCGAGGGTAAATGGTGTTAGCGGTTTCTCCTTAATCTACGAGGTGGATCTATAGCGGAGCGAGGTGGATAATGGTAGCAGTAGGTGTGCAAGTGAGTGGCTAGATTTCTCTATATATGGGTTTTACCAGCTCGTCGTAAGGGCGTCTATGACTCCAACACAACCTCGCGCCCAAAAAGGGTAAGCGAGTAAAGCGATTGTCAGGCTGTTTGGAAGTAGGGCTATATCTTATTGTGCCTGGTGAAGATGGACTTGGTGATTCTGCGCTCGACCGAGCCATACAGCGAGATGGAGCAGATGCAAGGCTGGAAGCGGCGAAGGCCGGTTGCACCCTCGCCACGGCGTCGTGTGTACGTGTGTACCTTGTCGGACGTCCTGCGGCCGGCAGTCGATGCTCTCCATGGCAGTCACGAGATAAAGAGCGAGAACTCCATCTGATGCGCCATGACGGCAGATCTGATACACTTTAGCGAGTCACGAGTATATATGCTCAGGCCGGGTGAACCCTCAGTCTGTCTCTCGAGGTCGAGGACCTCGGTGCATGGCAGTGCGAGGAGCAAGCAGGCAAGCGGGCATGTGATTGTTCAATCACAATCGTACATCACGAATCAGAATGGCGTCGTGAATCTTCGCGACTCCACTCGTGACTGCGCCTGCAAGGTGTGCATGCTTGCTTTACGTACCGTTCGCGCGTTGAAGTCGCGATCGATCGAGCATTCGTTGCGCATTACTTCCCTTCCCTTAGCTCCTTCACACTCGTCAAGCATTCGATCGCGATTCGCCATTAGCGACTGTATGAGACTATTCCATCGGAGCTCTAGGAAAAGGACTCGCGAGCGGAGAAGAGCGCGGATGAATGAGAAAGTCGGTCGTCTCACCTAGATCAGCAGCAAGACCTCCACGCTCTACCAAAACGAAGCATCCATCCACAGCAGCCCTT